GATAAATAATGACTAGTGGCTGAAGACGGACTCAAGTGTCGTCCTCCACAACTCCTTGCCACTGAACCACTGCGCCGTCTCCTGCAAGTCCGTGTAGTTCTTGCGGGCGTCCGGGCCAAAGCTGACAAACTTGTCCACCGGCACCCTCCACTGGAGCTCCTGCAAAGCCGGCGCCGCCTCACGAAGCCCGCACAGTCGCCAAGCGTCTGACAATGTGTGCACATTGACAGTCTCCGGCTTGGCAGTGGACGCGGACTCTTTCTCCCACTGCTTTGCTGGCCTTCGAAAGTTAGGCTTGAGGAATTAAAAGAATCCCACTTGGGGCGAAGCAACGCTATTGCAAACAAATGATGCAGCTAGAGACTAAGAAACTCACATCAGGCCTGAACGCCACTCCTTTCAAGGGGAGCTGCGTGTCTGGGACGCACAGCCACGCGTCCATGTATGCTGGTGTGTCTCCTGGACCGACAACAAGGCTTAACTTGTGCTTCACAGATGATGGTAGGCAAGATTCGGAGCATTCTCTGCAATCAAAATGATTCAGCTGAGAAACTGTTCCCGTGACAGCCGGACAAGTCCAGCGCCAGGACAATCTTGCGCATGTCCATTCTGGATTGCGTGATTTTATCCTCGATCATCCGGCAATCTTTCATGGGGGAGTTGCCGCTCGAACTTCCATACAGGAGGGGCTGCAACACAAGGCCACCAGCTCCTGCAACGAACAAACTGAGACACCCACTCAGAAGAGTAAACTGGCATTCATTCCCAATCATTCCCACCTTCAGGATTCCTGTCCGTCATGGACTGGATCACGGCCACATGGCGATTCACGATCGCCTGCTGCGCTGCACCCAACTTGCTGAAGTCAGTCACAACAAGGATCACGCTCTTGTCCAAAGTGATCTTCTTCTTCTGCAGCGTTCCGGCGAGCCACGCCTCAAAGCCGGGGAGCGTGGTCACGTCGGTGGCGTACTGCATGAACAGCTTCTCAGACATAAAGCTCTCAACCAGACACCTCCCAACTTCCAGCTCAGCACGCAGATGCGCCACGTGGGCCACGTGCTTGCGCGCATCTGTTGCTCGAACATCAGAGAGGTAGCGGGCATACTCACTCTCATCCAGACTTGGTATTCTCATCAAGAAGTGACAACAGAGTCACACTGAAAGTCATAACATGAAGAATAATGAGGCACTCACTCACTACTTACTATGAATGACTCTCACCCCGTCTCAGCCAGGTCACGCAATCCTTGAGCACATAGCCTTGAACTTGGCCTGCTGGGACTCTTCCTCAAGCATCATGATGCTCTCCTGACCGGCCTCCGACTCCGCCGCCGCCAGAGGCTTGACATCGACCCACTCCTGCCACACTGCCAGGTGCTGGATTTTCCAGGAGGGCAACGCTGCCGCGACGGCGCTCAGCACATCAGTCTTGTAGTCCCTGCAGGCAACAGCACTTGGCAAGATTCATCAAGAAAATGAGCACTGAATGGATGAATGGAATTCAGACCTTGCCTCTGCAGCATTGCTTTTCGAAGGGAAGCAAGGATGGACTCGGAGGCCCCGGACTTCTCTGCTTCCGCCAGGACGGCGCACATGATGCAAGCATAGCTGCACAACTCATCCCACTCATTGACGCTGAGTCGGACCTTTGCACGGGAGGAGGCGCGCACCTTCCGAGCAGCCTGGTTGAAGGCAGCAATGACCATTGTGAGGAACATCTCCTGAACTTAAGAGTGAGCCAGGTATTTGGGAAATGAATCCGCATGAATGATTATTAGGCGGTCTCTCCTGCACTTTGTCTGTGACCGTCAAGATCTCCTTCTGCCAGCCATTTCTTGGGGAGGCATTCAGAAGCCACCGGGAGCTTCTAAGCAACTCCGTCGAAAACGCGCAGTCTTTCCATTTCACCTAAGCATTGGCCACACCATGTTGACGCGTCTCTGAAAAACATGTAAGTATGACATGATGTCCTGTACTAAGGTTAAACCTAGGGACCGCGTGCAAGTGCTTGGCAATCACCTCCCTCGATCCTGGGGACGTGCCCTGGATGAAGTTCATGACTGCCTTGCGCTTGGTGTCATCAAGGTTCCACTTGGACAGCATGCCAGGGCATGCGTGGAAGTCCTCAATCACAGAAGCCAGCTTTTGGTTGGCATCATAGTCTCGAGGAAACACTCCTTCTGCGACATTGTCCGCCAACCTCAAGGACAATGTTATGATGCTTGGCGGCTGGCGCTCGCTGCCGCGGTACGACAACAACAAGTTCTGCAAGTTGATGCCTGACCGGGTCATTCTAAATGACATTCGGACCGGCACCTGCCAGGCGTTGTGATTGACATGGGTTTGTCACATCCTTCGGGGTAATTTCAAGTCATGAACAACATATCGTCGTTTCAAGCTTTGCCGGCATAGCTGCTGTTGACTTCATTTAATTTTGAGCTGGCACCTGAACGCACTTGTCCAGAACGTTCTGCAAAGCCAACAGCTTCTCCCAGTCCGTCTCAAGGTCACTGGAGCTGGCGATCAACACAATGAAGAGGCAGGCACTCAGCTTGGTATAGCCTTTCACCTCAGATGGAACTATAACAAATACCTGCAACAGTTTTAATAATGATAACTTATAGTTCCAACTCAAGAATTCCCACCCAGTGACTATGTCCAGCTCGAACATGCCCACCTGCCCAGCGCTCTTCCCATAGTTGGCCGACAGCGGTTCCCGGGCGAAGTCGACGCCGCCCAAGAGCATGGACTCGACCACTGTCAGCCAATCCAGGCAGGACGGCAACCCGTCCACTGGAACCCGGACATCGAAGCTGGCCAGCGACACCTTCACAGTGTCATTGTTGTCCGTGGCCTCGCTCAGATCCTGCCGTCACACAACGAGATGTCATGACAAACATGCCAACACTAAGATGATGAATGACAATCAGGCACAGAGTTAACAATATTGACAATGTCCTGGGAGGAGTGATCCAGCCCCTTGAAGGCAAGGCCACGTTTTCCAAAATAGTTCTGCAACCACAGCATCATCTGCAAGCAGTTCTGCTTGTCCTGATCCCCATTGCCACTGGCCAGCATCTCTGGCACAACCAAAGCTGGATGCGGAAGCTGCATGCTGCCGGTTGCGTCCATGTTTCGCCATGGCTGGAGGTAGTCCAGGATTTCCTGCCCACAGGGCCACGAAGTATAAGAAGCATTCTCAGCGCAACGCATCTGCATGACAACTGACTGGTCTTACTACAAGCTGCCTTGACGAGAGCAGTGTTCCCCAGGAGGGCTTTCAGCTGCCTGTCAGTGGAGTTGCACACGCGCTTCGGGCTCGGGTTGTCCTCCTTTTTCTCAGACTTCAAACCGACATCCGCAGAGTTCTCTTGCTTCACCTTCGCAAGACGCTCTTGCAGCTGTCGAAGCAGCGGGTTCTCGTAGGCAGCCATGGTCCTCTCACAAGCCCGGAGTCTGACTGTTGCCGTCAGACACTTCACCTGGCTGGAAAATGCTAGATCCTGACGCCCAAAACGGTAACATGCGTTTTGCTGCTGTCACACGAAAGGGAGCATGCATGAGAGAGAGACCGTCATGAAGTCATCTGCAGTTGTTTGCTGCATGGCTCAAGATGCAGGAGTGCGCTGCTGCTTTAAGCAGTTGCTGCACAGGGCTTCAGATGCAGGACGGCACTGCTTCAAGCAGCTGCCATGCGACAGCTTGTTGCTCCTTACCAGCCACTGTGACTGAGAACAGTGAAGTTGACACATGACTGTAATTTGCAGCAAAGTTATGTTAAACTAGCTAAGATGCGCAGGCATGAAATTTATGATGGCGCCACCAATTCCGATGCACCCTCATTATCTGAACAGAGAAATCGATGCACATGATGTGTCTGGGCGGAGAAATCGATGCATGTGAAATTTCTGAACCGAGAAATCGATGCACATGGAGTGTTTGGGCGAAGAAATCGATGCACATGGGGTGTCTGGGCGAAGAAAATCGATGCACATGAACCTTCAG